CCAGGATTGACGGCCAGGAAGGTTTTGCTGTGTGTTTGGTGGGATTGGCAGAGAATTATCTACTATGAGCTGCTCCCCTACGGCAAAACTCTTAACTCGGAACTGTACTGTCAACAATTGGACCGTCTGAAGGAAGCAATCACCCAGAAGCGGCCAGCTTTGGCCAATAGGAGAGGAATTGTGTTCCATCAGGCCACACACATCGATAATGACTCGCCAGAAGCTCCGGGAACTTGGTTGGGAGGTTCTTATGCATCCACCTTATAGTCCGGATCTGGCACCAAGTGATTATCATCTGTTCTTGTCCATGGCGAACAATTTTGTTGGTGAAAAATTCGCTTCAAGAAAAGCTTGTGAAAATCGACTGTCTCAATTTTTTGCCAATAGGGACGAGGGCTTCTATGAGAGAGCAAAATGAAATTACCTTCAAAATGGCAACAAGTTATCGAACAAAACGGCGCATATTTGACCTAAATCGGATCATTCTAACTATGGTAATTAAAGCTTTCAATTTCATGCAAAAATAATGGATTTCTTTTTACTACACCTAATATAATGGGCACGATCCATTACACACTGCAAAATCTTTCAAGTGGCGTACGGACCAATCCTGGCTTTCCTTCGGGTGTCTCGAAGCATTCGCAGCATTTAATTAATCGCATCCATAATTATATCAAGAAGTAATGCTAAGGTCATAAAAACATTGCCATCATGTTTATAAACGTAACATTACAATGATCTTCCTATATTAAAGTTAATATTAGTGTAAAATGTTTTGTGCTATTTGGAGATATCCAAGAGACGTCTAAAATGTGTCGCTGTGTATGCTTCTTCGTTCTCAGGACGTTCTTAAAATATCTTGTGCTGTATGGATATTTATATTATTTATATTATTGAATTTATATTATTGAATAGAACTTACGATATACTTTATAACACTGATAATATTACTGTTAGTGCTTACTGGGACGTGTATTACTGAAATGTAAATTTTCTGTTTTTAGGTATTAACAACGCTACACTTTTTTGCAAGTGGTAGCTATCAAACAAGTATTGGACACAATTTATATCTTGCGATAAATCAAGCAGTATCTGTATCCAGATGCATTCATGAAGTAATACATGCATTAAATCAGCAGAATATAATGAATAAATGGATAAAATTTCCCAGTATTTTATATGAATTAAAATATGCATGACGAAAGTTAATATTTAAATGTATTTAAATTTATACATCGTAATATATCCCAGACAGGGACATAATGTGTATAATGTTAATATATTTCCAGATTTCATGAGAAGCACAGATTTCCTAGAGTAATTGGATGCATAGATTGCACTCACGTTGCTATTTTCCCACTATAAAGTCACGGTGACGTTAATGTTGAACATTTATATATTAATCGAAAGGGATACCATTCTATAAATGTGCAACTAGTAAGTATATGTAATATCTCTTTACATATTATTATTATGGGTTTTATTTGTATATTAATATTACACACAATATTTTGATAGGTATGCGATTGGCGTTTAAAAATTTTAAATGTTAATTCACGATATCCTGGGAGCACACATGATTCTTATATTTGGAATAATTCCAACCTAAAAATGGGAATGGAAAGAATTCATATACTATGGCCAAATGTGTCAATCTTTTTTTCTGAGTGAGTTGACCGTATTAATATTACACATATGCATAATATTCCAGCAAACACAGAATATAACTGTTATATAACATAGGAGTAACATGTAATATAACATATGTTATACTCTAGTTATATTGAGGTTATATAATTTGGTTTCATAGTTGTAATATAATTCTGTTATATATCTGTTACACTGTTTTGTTATAAACTAGAGATAACATTATAATAATAATATAATAGTAATGTAACACGTTATATAACAATAATTACGTTCATATTACATTGATGTTATACAACACAATTATTCATGCAATCTATTAAAAGCTGCAAATGCTTTCTATTGCGAATAAAGGTGCATTTCGATAGAGAAAGAAATAGCAAAGCGGAACAGTAACAAATAAAAGAAATGGTGGAAAGTTAATCAATCAGAAATTTCGTTCCGCTTTCTTGTAAATGCTTTATTTTGTAGTTCTATGTTTTTATGTATTTTTAATGCCTTCATCGCGCTTAAGCAGACCATATTGCCTATTTATATTGACGTTTATATGCATACTGGTATGTATATTCCCACAAAAAAGTACATCGATTCCACGTAGAACGCATTCGTTACATTCACATGGAATCCACAAAACTACATGGATTTCACATGGACACAACGTTCTTATTTTCGTGGAGATATCCGCACTCATACTACTTAAACGTTTAAGAACGCTTATATATCATACAAAACTCAAAAAAGAAATAGAGAAAAATTTCTTTAAGTTTAATATTCTTACTTGTTCGATTTTGAGTTGTTTCATTAAAATATATTTTTACAATATTATTTTTAGAAAAAAAAACTCTATTTCATTGAAGAAAATCATATTGATAAAAAATAGGATTTGAGATAATATTTTTCAAAAATTTTTTTTAGATTTAGTAATTAAAATTTCTTATTTAAACTTCCTTGAATTTGTTTCAAACTATTTCTTTTGTGGGTTAACCATTATAATACATTATAATAATAAATTAGTAATTTTGAAACATAGTCTATATTGATATTCGTCGCATATCGAATGTTGTTGCGTTGTTTTAATTTTTGACATGAAAGGTTATAATGTTCTGTGAATACTATAAGGATACATTATATAAATACAGGTTACAAGAACATCGTTGGAGTCATTGGGATAATTGCGTGCCACTCAATCGTCAGGTTAAGTAAAGCGTAGAGTGTGGTCAGCACACGGGAGGGGTGACCGCTTGGAATCGAAGCTACCGACGGGACGCAAGACGCGAGAAAATTAAAAGCAAATTTTTTACATAACAATATTACAGTTATATAACAGCTATATAACATTTTAGTAACATGTGATATTTCTGTTATATAACTGCAACTTTCTATGAGTGGGAAATTACAACTAACATGTATATTGCTTGTAACGTACACGTTATATTACGTGTTACATTTCGTTACATTACGACAATGTAACTGTTACATAACTATGTTTACTGGGATACTATTAATATCTACAAATTTTATTTACGCTTTTAACCATGTACATTAATATATAATAATTAAATTTTTTAAATATATTGTTAATCAACAATATTTTAGGTGACTCAGGCTACCCTTTACGTCCTTGGTTATTCACTCCAGTCGCAAATGCAGAAATAGATAGTCCAGAGGACAGATACAACAAGAGACAAATATCTTGTCGAAGTTTAATAGAAAGGTGCAACGGGTTGTTGAAAATGCGATTTTGTTGTTTGTTGAAACACAGAATATTACATTATGCACCTGAAGTGGCAAGCAAAATTACAAACAGTTGTGCTGTTTTACATAATATCTGCATAGAGAGCAACGTTCCACTACTATATGATGATAATGATGGTCAGCAAGATGAATGGCAAAATGATATGTTTAACCAAGAAGCACCTAATAATAACGAAGAAGTAGCGATTTTTTTTATTTTTAAAGGCAGCCAAAGTTCTCCAAGTATCACTAATATCCGAGTTTCTATTCAGTGATTCGCAAAATGATCTATATTTAAACTTTTTAATGTTCTTGAGTTTCTTATTGGTCTCCTTAGAGGCCCTGTTATAATGCTCCAAGTTCTCCAAAGTAGGAGCATCTTTGAATAAAAGAAAAGTCTTTTTTTTAGCTTTTAGGATGCTCCTACATTCTTCATCCCACCAAGGAGAAGGAGGTCTACGCAAAGATGGTTTGTCCCTCATGATGGAAGCACCTGAATTAATCAGCGAGGAGTGTATCTTTTCTAGAATGTTGTTGTAAATAAAAACAGGGTTTGCCGAAAGTATAGATGCACTATCCTTTTTGTCATGAAGAAGTGACAGTTGTGACTCAAAACTATTGGAAAAATGATCCCAATCAATTTTGGAAACATTATAGTGGGGTCTGCAACCAAATTTGTCAGGAGTGAGATCAAGAAACTCAATGATAATTGGGTAATGATCGCTTCCGTAAAGATAAGGGAGCGTATGCCATTTTTCACAGGTTGATAAGGAATTTGAGGTAAGCGTGATATCAATGGCACTGTAATGGAGTAGGTTTTTGGAAGACCATGTAGGGTTACCGTTATTTAAAATTACTAAATTAGAATTGGAGATAGCATCAGCAAATTTTTTGCTGGCATTAACCGGATTAAAAACGTTATCACACCAGAGAGGGTGTCTATAGTTAAAATCTCCGGTAATGATCAAGTTATAATTACTCTTAACTTTGCAAAAAAGTTATCCCAGAAGAGCGGATCGTTATCAACTAATGTATTGTTAGGTGGATTATATACTGAGATCAACTGGTGCGGAATTTGCTTAATATTAAATTCAACGCAGCAGAAATTCACGTTGTAACTGGAAAGAAGCTCTTCACCAAGCGCAGTGTGTGAGACCACAAAATTGATGTCCGATCTAACTGCTATGGCTGCACCTCCTCCCGGATCTTCTCTGTTGCTGGTAATAAGAATGTAATTGTTAAGATTCATCCTATTAGTGTCTTTCAGCCAGGTCTCCGAAAGACAAATAAAAGCTGGTAACCCTGGGTATTTGTCAAGAAGAGCAATAAGGTCGTTGAACCTAGCTTTCAAAGATCTACAATTCCATTGCACTATGGAAAGAAAACTGTCCCGATTATTCTGAACCATTTTCTTTTTTTTATAACTATTTCAACAATTTCAACAGTAGACCGTGTTATAATTTTTGTTTGTTATTTTGGAATTGCAATACAAATTAATTCGCTTCTTGATTTGTTCTAAGATATTCTTCCTGATGTTTGACTATTAGAGACGACAATAAAGAACATAAACCCGATATCACGTTATGGGGACCAGAAATAATTAATTGCGGCGCCGTATCTTCAGAGGTAGGGTCTATTTTTTCACCATCAACCTGGTGATTTCATCACCAATCTGTGATAAAGTTGTTAAATTCCGACAGCAAAATCTGCTCTGTATTAGGATCCTGGACAACAGAAGGAACTATCTCCATATTTGGAGAGGAGGGGTAATCCCCCTCCACCTCCCCCACCTCTCCCAATCCACCCTGAGGTGAGGAGAGGCAAGGCAAACTTGTTGTAAGGAAAAGAGTATTACGATCTCCCCGCCCAGCCAGGGGTAAAGTTGGAGGAGGGGCTCCCAGATTTGGAGGGATTGGATTGTCATTTACGGGAATATCCTCAGATGGGGAAGGTGTCATCTGCTCCGAAGGAAGGTTGAAGCTTATCGATCTTTTCCTCTTGCGTGGTAGTGAGGTTCTGCGAGATTTATTAGACTTATGTGGATTTATCTTGTTTTTAGGTAAGTTGTCTTCCGGATGGCTTTTCAGGATGTTCTCTCCGCTAGTCGACAGTCCGGGGTCCAAGTCCGAAAAGTAGTCGCTCTCCTTAAACCAAGGGATAAAGTCCGCAAACGTAGCAGATTCTTCAGCACTGTTAATTTCGAACCATTTGTCTGGTAGACGATGCCCAGTGGATTTATAGAACGCCATGGCATCAGATGGATTCAGACCCAACTTCGCCATGACAATCTTCGCTCTTCGATTTTCAATGAAAGTCGGGCATATGTCCGAGCTGGTTCTATGATTAGGGAAGGGAAGTTTCCTCCGCAGGCAGTTTATACAAGCCAGATGAGATGATGAGCAACTTTTCGAATGATGTCCCTTGCTCGCACAGGTTGCACACATCATGGCTCTCGATCCACCTCTGCATTGAGCCTCAATATGACCGAAACGTTGGCAATTGTTGCATCTCTTTACTTTCTGTATATATGGTGCAAATCTGATCTTTTTCCCAAAATAGATAGCTGCTTTGGGAGCGGATAGGCCTGCAAATGTTATCATTATCATATTGGATGGAATATAAACGAACTTGGATTTATCGGCAGGATCAACTATCCTCTTGTGAATATGCTTGACTTCGAGTATTTCCGGTAGCTGGGTTATGTAATGAGGAGGTGCCTGTAAAAATTGTTTAATTTCCTCCGTTTTCAGAATAATCAATATCTCTGGTAACAACCCTGGAAGTGATACGATAATCCGGTACGCAAGCTATCCAAATGGTATCCCTAATTACCTTCTCCTCCATGACGGACGTTTTCCACCATTTTATTGGCCGCTACCCCGTCTGGGAAGGAGACTGAGAATTTATATGTTCCAATAGATTTCAGATTGATCGCGGATCTCCACAATGTCGGAAAAAGTCTAGCCATTATTTTGCCAATTTTTATTTCGCTCCTGATAATGTTTTTATCGATACGGTTGTCTACTACTTTGGATATATATATTTCGAAAGGACCTTTGGACGGAGGTCCGTATCTATTCTGCATGAGTCTTCTATGTGTTTCGGTCAATGAGTTACTAGACTTTTCCTTCACTCCCAACGAGGGATCAGAGGTCCCATTCGAATATGAAAATGTAGATGTAGAAGAATTATTGCGTTGATCTCTCACCGATTCCGCGTATAAAGAATACTGCGATCTGTCATCAAGGGTATTTAGAGGAGATTACGTGTCCTTATCAGAATCGAGGTTTCCTTTGTCTATATCCATGGTATAAAATTCCGAAGTGAGCCTTGCAGTGCGTGACGAAAAACCTTTCGACTCGAATGAATGTAATCAACAGTGGGATTAGCGATAAAACTTTGTGAGAATGCCAGGTCTAAAATATAAAATGAGAGGAATAGGTTATATTGACAAGGAGTAACTGATCGTTCTCGTTCCGTGTCCAGAACCGAATTCACTCCGTTTAAAGCAAGTTGTGGAATTTGGCCTAAGGCTAATATTACATTTGTCGTACGACAATCTTTTCGAATACGTTGATTGGTTAATAAATAGAATATTTCTAGGATTGCTTCGCGTACGCCAATCAATGTATCCGAAAAGCTTATCGTACGACATATGTAATATTAGGCTAATATTGTTTTCCATACGGACTAAGGTTATATTCACAATTCACTGTTACTCCTAACAATCTATAATATAAGTGACGTGAATTATAGGTTTTCAGTACTGAAGGTTTCAGAACACGGCTTACAACGTTACCACCAGTTACCACATGTAATATTCGTTCAAAAGAAACGTATACATATTCTAATACGAATATTCGCAAATTATTCAGAGAATACATATTAGCGATTACTTGAGAAACGTATACGCTTTCCGACCACTCGTAAATTACGTATACGCAACGTTGCGAGTGAGTTACAGAATCGAGCCCCTGCTTCACCCTGCTTGTGGCGGCTGAGCGAAGACGAGCTCGCGGGCGTCGCGGTAGATAGCGGGAGAGGGTCGACCGCTACATTTTCACCATGTCAGAAAAAGGGAATATTTTATATGAAGATGATGTGACATCTGAATGGAAAGATTTATCATTAGGACAATTATTGTTAAAACAACTAACACTGCATGGTACTTGTGTAGCACAAGTAAGTATATGCTTATTAATATAATTACATGATTTCTCCTGTTTATTGTTTTATTAAAATAATATTTTTATAATTTTATCTTGTATATACGTAAATTCAAAATATTTTGTATCGTAAATATAAAACCTATGTATTGTTTCATCCCAGCAAACAATATTACATGTAACATGAATGTTGTAATTTCCTACTCAACAATATAACAGTTATATTGTTGAGTAGGAAATTACAACTAACATGCATATTAAATGTAATATTGTCTTTGCTGGGTTTTTATATTGCAATTTTTTCAATACAAGACATCTATTTAATTAAATCTTCAAAAAATCTTTTAGTTTATCCATACTAACTGACATTTATAATTATTTTTATGTATTGTAATTTGTAGTATTTTATACAACAATTACACAATACTTCATTTTTGTAATATTTTATACAATTCAAGTTTATATGTTGCTTTATGTTTATACATATATATATATATATATATGATATATATGTGCATACATATGTACATATAATAACAATAAATATTTTTAACAGATAAACGCCCATACAGGCAAGGAACAAACTTTCGAACATATCTTAAACACTAGTCGTAAGTTGGCAATTTTCTTTCAGAAAAAAGGAGTGAAAGTAAATGATACAATTGCCATATCTCGGAATAACTTGGAATTTCATATTGTTATATGTGCTATATTTTATGTGGGTGCTACAGTCTGTCCATTAAATCCACTATATTCAGAAAGAGAATTCAAACATGCACTTGCCATTTCTAAGCCAAAATATTTATTTATTTCTGCAATAGCATTTAATAATATAAAAATGATAATCAAGGATTTATACTGGTCACCAAAAATATTAATATTAACTGAACATCACAATATCAGTACAACATGGATGAATTTAAGCAAAGCAATATCAAATATATCAAACAGTGATATGAATATGTTCCGAGCTATTTCTGTTGATATAAATAACCATGTAGCAGCAATTTTATGCTCGAGTGGAACTACAGGACTACCTAAAGGTGTCATGTTGACAGACAAAAATTTCATTACAGTCATAAAACATGTAATGGATATATATATACAGATTAATGAAGGAAAACTTACAGGTTTAGCATTGCTACCATTTTTTCATGTATATTCATTTACTATATTGCTGGTTAGACTCATAACTGGAAACACGTCTATAATCTTTTCACATTTTGATGAGGAATTGTTCCTACAATGTATTGAGAAATACAGAATTGAGAATTTAATATTGGTGCCACCACTTATGGTGTTCTTGGCTAAACATCCACTTGTAGATAAATATGATTTATCATCTGTTAAGGTAATAGCATGCGGAGCAGCACCTTTGTCAGAAGAGATTTATGAGGCTGTTACCAAGCGATTGAATGTTCCTGTAATTAAGCAGGGTTATGGATTAACAGAAACTACTCTAAGTGTGCTATGGTCAACAGGTGATAAGGCAAAACCAGGCAGTTTTATGTTAGCTCCAGGCATGTCTGCAAAAATCATACCACTGGGAGAATTTGAAACAGATAAAACTTTAGGGCCAAATTGCAGAGGAGAATTATGTTTCAAGGGAGATTTAATAATGAAAGGTTATTGTAACGATGAAGAATCTACTAGAGCAACAATTGATAAAGATGGTTGGTTACATACAGGAGATGTAGGATACTATGACAAAGAAAGATACTTTTACATTGTTGATCGTGTAAAGGAACTTATTAAATATAAGGGTTATCAAGTTCCCCCAGCTGAGCTTGAAGCGATTTTATTAACATATCCTGGTGTGAGAGACGCAGCTGTAATTGGCATTCCAGAAGAAATAGCTGGAGAATTGCCAATGGCTTTTATTGTAAAACAAGATAATTCCAACGTACGTGAAGAGGATATAATTCAGTATGTTAACGAGCGTGTGTCAAATCCTAAGCGACTCAGAGGTGGTATAAGATTCATAAATAGCATACCAAAGACTGCGTCTGGTAAAATTCTGCGTCGACTACTGCGCGATTCTTTACAATCAAAATTATAAGCATGTCAAATATCTACCTTTTATAATGTGTATTATTTGCTATATTTTTTTTAGTGATATTTTGCATAAGCAAAATTCATGATTATTATGATTAAATACAATTAATATAATAATTAATTAATACAAATAATATAACTTAATTCTTTAATAAAGATATTTATATTCATATTATATACAACAATGAATTCTACACAGGATGTCTGAAAACATAATAACATGAAGTATTTAATTTGATTTACAGGTTCATATCATGCTTTGGATTTGTTTCCGATGTTTCATGAACATTCAATTTATTTTTTCAGAGGGAGGAACACCTAGAAACATTTCTTTCTGAAGAAATAAATTGAAATATTCATGAAATATTAAAAACAAATCAAAGATAGATGCTGTGTATACACACACATATATATATATAAGCTTGGAAATTAAATAAAATATTTCTTTGTACTGCTAAAGCTTAAAATATGACAGAATGATTACAGAATAATATATTAAAAGTAGAGTTTTTTCTAGATAAAAATTTATATTAAAACGAAAAGCATATTCTTTTTCTATTTTTAACATTAAATTTTTTGCAATTGATCCATGATTATAATGTCAAACTGTTCACAAGGTTCATCAAAAATTAAAGTTTTTTTTTTAATATATTTTGACAGCTCAATAATTATAGAGAAATTCTATTATGCTCTTACAATTTTTGTCAAACATTCTATATATTTTCTATATATTTTCAATAACAAGGAAATAAGTACAAATTAACTTCTATAATATATTGGAAAACTAATTATGATTTTTTCTCTTATATTATATACATTTAAAATAGACTTACAAAAGTAGAGTTTCAACAAGTTGACTTGAGTGTAATTTTTGAGTTAATTGTGAGATACTATATTTACTAAGTCAAGAAAACATTTTTGTTTTCTTTTATATCTATTCAATTATATATATGTTGCCATTATCTATAAGGGAGGTAAAAAGGAAAAGACCGAAAATTTTGTAAAATTAGGATATATAATTGGTTGTAAAATTTGCTCCTTGTTCCTTATGTAATATACTAAACCTGTTCCTAATATACTATATGTGTATTTCTTATGTTGTCACTAATTTAATAATAAGTATAGTTAAAATAACGATTAGTTAGATCAAAATAAGCAAAATTATAAAAGTTATAAAATTACATAAGTTGCATTTGTATACTAATTTTTTAACTCATATTTTCATTATATTAAAAATTAATATTACTTAGAAACAAATATTTATAAAATTCATATAATTGAATCCAGATTGTTTAATTGCTTTAAAAAACATCAATCATTAAACAACAGAATGCTTTGAAATACTTTATCTTATGCACATACATGCACATATATATACACGGGTATTTCAAAATAAACGAATATATATTTAACTATAGTGACTATATGAATATATATATAATATATACATAGATTGCTTGATCAATTTAGAAATTTTCTCTGCTTAGATATATCACTATAGTTTTCATATTTTCCTAAATTTAAATAATAAAATGATAAATTTAAATAATAAAATGTTTAATGTTGAGTTCTTGAAAAGATCAAATATATATATGCTAAAGAATTCGTGATAGAAAATCTTCCAGTCCGTTGTGTATGTATGTATGCATGTGTATATGTGTGTATATATGATATCTACGCGCGTGCGCATGCAGGTAAGCATAAGTTTCTTTTATTTATTTTTTTTTAATAAAACCGTTTAACCAATCGGAAATTGTTCCCAAAAATTCGTGCTAGTCAATACACATAATGTATTATATTTGCGCGCATGTGTGTATTGGATATATAAACAGATATTTAACAAAATTACATACAATTCAGTAACAGTCTCCAATATTTCAATTTGCCTTTATATATCATTTACAGAAAAAAAAGAAATCAGGTCTGTACATCTATTTTAATAATGGAAATTAGGAAACAAATAAATTTTATATAAATATCACTGTTTTTTAAAGCTTTTCAGGATTGGATAAATGTTGTCAAAGGCTTCATAAATTTCCTTTCGAACCTTTGCACCTGGAAAAAATTAAAATTTTTTTTTAATTCTCGATAAATATGAAGTTAAAATATAGAATTAAAAATATGAGGATATAGATTTTGATAGCAATATACTATAACTTTATATACTATAATTTTATATTATAATTTTGATAACATGTTAACAGTTTGAAAACTTTTGTAACAGAAAATTAAAAAGTATTTTTTAAAACATTATGTGAGCTTTGTTGAGGTTACTATGATGCTATAGAATCTGAAAACATGGATAGATACTCACCTGTCAATACTACTTTTCCTGAAACAAATATGAGTAATACAATCCGAGGTTTCACCATTCTATATATCAATCCAGGAAATAATTCTGGTTCATATGATGAGAATTGCCCATGAGAAAGCACTAAACCCTCTAATCTAATTGGAAACTTAACGTCACAGCTACCGACCATATTCTGGATCTTAAAGTCTAAAAACTTTGCCTATTTATCAAATAATAATAACCAAAATTAACAATGGAATAAATTTATATTATCAATTAACATAAAAATTTACCAAATATATTATATCTTAATTACACAAATTGATTATACTCACAGGAAAACCTAGTTTCTGTATAATTCTTGGCATACTTTCTAGCTGCAAGACGCGAATCTGCTTCACTTTTTGCACCAGTACAAACCATTTTACCACTACTAAATATTAGTGCAGTAGTTCTGGGTTCTCTTATTCGCATAATGACAGCTGCAAATCTTTTTGGGTTGTATTCAGCGTTCCTAGCATGAAGTGCTATTTTCTTCAAGTCAAGTTTACAATTTAAATTAACAGTAGATACGATATTCCTAAGATAAAACAGAAACATGATATGTAAAGAAATAAAGTAGGAAAAACACATGTTAATATGTTAATTTCTCTATAAAATTACTGTAATTGTGGCAATATTCCAGGGTCAGCTGAAGCTGGTGTCATTGGTGTCATTGGTCCTGGAGTTGAAGGACCTATTGATGCTGGTGCGATTTGACTATTTTGTGGTACTATTGGAGACATCATATTTTGCTAAAAAATAAAAAACAAAACTAATAGAGCAACATTAATATATAATATTATATTTTATATATGTATATATATATTACATCTTTTTTCTAAATTGAAAATAATTTAACATATTGATATTGAATTACTGGTGTTTGTGGTTGCATGAGACTCTGAGGTGTTGCAAATGTTGGAGTTGGTGCATAGGTATGCATAGTTTTCTGCGGTGTTATCATCAGCATACTGCTCTGCATGTTAGGACTCATCGAATGTAACTGTTGTAGTTGATATTGTTGCGATTGTTGTTGTTGCTGCAAAGCATTAGGAAGGATTTGTTGATCCTCTTCTGGCTGATGCAGAGGTGTACCAATACTGGGTATGCTAAAACCTGGACTAGGAAGCATCTGATCCATCTTGAATGTTTATTCAATCTATATACATGTAACTGCAATCTTAAAATTACAGTTGGATATCCATGAGGTAGTTGATGTTTAACTTATATAAGATGCATATAATATACTACCTAAAACAATGTTGATTATTAATTTCAAAGTTTAGTTATCTTCTCTCAATTTAACGAAACAATCACCAAAATTGATATATGATCGATGATTGATGAAAATGATATATAAAATATATAGAAATAAACCTCAAAAATTTTCCCATGCATCATATATATAAAAACTTTGTTTTATAAGTTTAATTCATACACACATACACAAGTTATTCGTTGTTTGTTTATAAATGTAAATATACTGTGTTTAGAATCTTTGACAATAGCTCATTTATAGCATAGTTTATATTCAATAAATGTTTATACTTTTATTAACAATTAACTTCAGGACATATAGTATTTATGAAGTCATTGCTATTGATTTTCTTCTCTTTTCAAGTAGTTCCTTCTTGACTTATTAAGGGTCTACTCCTGTAGAGACAAATCCAGCGTTGACTTTGGAGGCCTCGTGCGGCGAGATCGCGAACCAACACCGTGCGCGCGAGTGCAAGAGCAGGTAGGTTGGATCAAGTCAGTTTGACAAGGACGAACAATCGATTGCACCGTCCTTGTCTTACTCACTCGGGCTTTCGCCGGCCGATACACGGCGAGAAAATGCTTTTCAGGCTTTTGGGTGAGTGAGCTAAGTGTCGCAGCGACTCACGTGCAATACCATTTTACAAATTGACGTATTTTGTCTAGCTGAAGTTATATGTCACCGCCAAATTATTATAGCATGTTCCTTATATTATTCCCGAGATCCCCACAAAGCCAGATTTTGCAATCCGGCCGTCTAAAATTTATGAAAAATAAATGAAGCGTCTGCCGTACCAAGCATCGCAGCGAATCACTCCAAAAATTATTTTACAAGATGCAAAATTTCGCCTCGTTGACGATACGTATAATTGCTAAACTGTTACAGCATATTCCTTGAACTATCCCTGAAGACCTTACACAGCCAGATTTTACAATCCGGCCGTCCAAATTTATAATATATAAATAAAGTATCAGCCGTACCAGGAGTTGCAGCGAGTCAGGTGGAATACCATTTTACAAGAAGCAATATTTTGCCTTGTTGATGTAATATATGAACTTGTTATAGCATCTTCCTACGACTATTCCCGAGATCTCTACAGAGTTAGATCTTACAAACAGGCCGTCAACAATTTATTATACATAATTAAATCATCAGCTGTACCAAATATCGCAGCGAATCAGGCGGAATACAATTTTACAAGAACAAATATATTGCCACGTTGACAATATATATAACTGCCAAATTATTATGGTATCTTCCTTGAACTATCCCTGAGAACTCTATAGAGCCAGATTTTGCAATCCGGCCGTCAAAAATTTATCATACATTAATAAAGCGTTCGCTGTACCAAGCGTCGCTGCGAGTCACTCGAAATATCATTTTACGAGATGCAATATTTCGTCTCTTTGACGATACGTATTATTACCAAATTGTTGCAGCATCTTCTTCGTACTATACCCGAGATCGGTGCAAAGCCGGATTTTGCAATCCGGTCGTCAAAAATGTATAATATATAAATAAAGCGCCCGTCGTACCAGGCGTTGGAGCGAATCAGTTGAAAAATCATTATAGAAGATGCAAAATTTCACCTCCTTGACGATATGTTTCACCACCAAATTGTTATGCATCTTTTTTTAACTATCCCCGAGAAACCTACAGAGCCAGATTTTGCAGTGAGGCTGTGAGAAATGTATCATAAATAAATAAAGATTTATGAAGCGTCGGAGCGGATCTAATCCAAGCTGGTTTGACTTTGGAGGGCCTCATGCGGCGAGATCGCGAACCAAACCCGTGCGCCCGAGCGCAAGAGCAGGAAGGTTGGGTCAAGTCAGTTTGACAAGGACGAACAATCGATCGTACCGTCATTGTCTTACTCACTCGGCGATTCGCCGGCCGATACACAGCGAGAAAATGCTTTTCAGGCTTTGGGTGGATGAGCTAAGTGTCGGCGAGCGACTCACGTCATTTTACAAATTGACGTATTTGTCTAGCTAACGTTATATACACCGCCAAATTATTATAGCATGTTCCTTATATTATTCCCGAGATCCCCACAAAAGCCAGATTTTGCAATCCGGCCGTCTAAAATTTATGGAAAAATAAATGAAGCGTCTGCCGTACCAAGCATCGCAGCGAATCACGCCAAAAATTATTTTACAAGATGCAAAATTTCGCCTCGTTGACGATATATACGATACGTATAATTGCTAAACTGTTACAGTATCTTCCTTGAATATCCCTGAGGACAGCCAGATTTTACAATCTGGCCGTCCAAAATTTATAATAATTAAATAAAGTATCAGCCGTACCAGGTTGCAGCGAGTCAGGTGGAATACCATTTTACAAGAAGCAATATTTTGCCTTATTGACGTAATATATGACCATGAACTTGTTATAGCATCTTCCTACAACTATTTCCGAGATCTGTACAGAGTTAGATTTTACAAATAGGCTATCAACAATTTATTATACATAAATAAAATGTCAGCTGTACCAAATCGCAGCGAGTCAGGCGGAATATAATTTTACAAGAACAGATATATTGCCTCGTTGACAATATATTGGTAAGTGCAAAAGTTTCGTGCGGAGTTTGTGAGTAAAAGTCACACAGTGATTAAGCAAACAAAAATCTTTATTCAATCAATGATATATCTCCATCGTTTTCTATAATCTTTTCCCAACGTTCTGGCAGCATACGGATGCCTCGATCATAAAAACTGCGCGGTTTAGATTCGAAGAACGAAGAGACGCCGTTTTTTAAGCCTCCAAAGAGTCAAAGTTTTTTCCATTTAAATAATTTTGCAATGACCGGAACAAGTGATAGTCAGATGGTGCAAATCAGGAGAATACGGTGGTATGCTAAGACATCCCATTCAGGATCTTCAGTTTGCGCAGCGTCTTTTTCGAAACGTGTGATCTGGCGTTGTCGTGATGAAAGACGATTCCCTTGCGATTTGAAAATCGACGTTTCTCTTTTATTTTCTCGATTCAGATTGGTTAATTGGCGACAGTACTTGTCCGAATCAATCGTTTCGCCAGCGGGAGAAGCTCAAATAGATTATGCCCTTGCAATCCACCAAACAGAAGCATCACCTTCATCGGTGCAAACTGGCCTTTGGCATTGCGTCACCATGCTCACCTGATTGTTTCCATGTCCGTTTGCGCTGAACATTGTTGTAGAGGACCCATTCTCATCGCCCGTCACTAGTCGATCCAAAAACGACTCTTATTGAGCCGCCCGAGTAAAGAAACGGCTGCAGAAATTCGCTTTGTATTTTCTTCCCGGTCAGCAAATGGCACCCATATATCGAGCTTCAAATCGAATCCCATCTTTTTTAAACGCCGAAAAGCGGTTGATCGGTCAACGTTTAGTGCTGTAGCGAACTTCTTCTGTTGAAATCGCGGATTATTGAGCACTAAAGTACGCAAAACATCGTCATCAATGTCAGAAGGTCACCAGAGCGTGGCCGTCTTCAAGGTTAAAATCTCCGCCCGAAATTTAGCAAACCATTTTTCCACAGTTGTTTAGTGCTGGTGCTTCATCCTGATAAACATCCTGAATGTTTTTTACGGCTGCGGCAACGTTTATTCTCTTCCGAAACTCGTAAAGCATAACATGCCGTATAATGCACCTTATCGATACTCATTTTTAAAGTGATATTTCTCGAAGCAGTTTGTATGAAAACAAATGATTTTTTTTTTAATAACAGCTGAAGACGTCACCTTTCCAACGTTATATAATATGTAGATGATGAGTATTAATGACAACACTTTACGACGCTTATAACTCCATCTATTGAAACTCCGCACGAACTTTTCCTTCTTCCTTCGGTGGGGGGGAAGCCCTTCTCCTCCTCTCCTCAGGCTTGATGGGGTCCGGTCTTCCCCTGGCGGTGGTGGTTCGTGCCTCCCCCCGCCAGTAGTCCCCCCTTTTGTCTCTCTCCCTCTTTTTTCCTTCCCCCCTTTTCCTCCTGGGAGGGGGTTCGCAGGCAGGTCCTCCGATCTTATGACCGGAGGGCCTGCCCGCCTCAGCGCATACCGGGCACCTCACCGCCTCCTGGCATCCATTGGCGCGGTGGCCGGGGTTACCGCAGCGGTAGCACATACCGCTGCGGTCGACGGCGCTTGTGCACCGCTCGCGCACGTGCCCCCGCTCCAAGCAGCGGAAGCACAATGTTGCGCGAGCGGGCAGCGCCGTCACCCCGGCGCGGGTCCATCTGACTGGTACCCGCTCCGCGGTGGCGACCTCAGCGGCCGCCGCCAGCGGACACCGCACCACCATAGCTCTAATCCCTCGCTGGGAGACGCTCATCACGCCCGAGGAAACCTCCTCGGGCGTGCATCCCCCAGCGAGGGCCACCGCGGCCGCCACCTCTTCGGCCCCGGTCGTCGCGTCCAGCTCGGCGATTCGCAAAGCTGCGAACTTAGCCGGGCGTTGGACGCGATAACCTGGGCCTTTTACCGCCGCCAGCTTGCGGAGCTCCTCCGCAAGCCGGTCGGCGGACGCCCCGACATTGAGGCCAGGCACCTCAATTAACATTGCCCCGTTCAGAGCCCGGCGGATCCTCAGGGACTTGATCCCCAGATCCGCCGGCCTGATACGGCGCCTGGCCTCTATCATGAATTCATGATACTTTTTTTTGGGGCACGTCACGGTGACGGCCGCTGAGCGAGGCGGTTTAGGTTTTCCCTGTCCGGTCGCTGATGTCCCACTCCCGGGTCCCTTTTGTTTTGGGGCGATAGGGGCAGCAGAGGGGTTCGTCTTCTTCTCCTCTTCCCCTCTCCTCTGCTTTTCCCTCCGCCCCACCACCTGGGACCATAATTCCCCTTCCCCTTCCTCCTGGGTTCTGGGGTTTTGGCTCCTCATCACCTCCAAGAGAGTTTTGACCGGCGTCCCTTTTCCTTCCCATCGGGCTCTTCTCTCTTCCTCCTTCATCCGCCTAACCCTCTCCTTCCTCCTCCTCTTCTGCTCCTTTCTCCTTTCTTTCCTTCCCTTGCCTTTCTCCTTTTTTTCCAGCTTCCTTTGACGCCACGAGTGTTTTGGGCGTCAGGTCTTTCCTCCCCAAGGTCTCCTGTCCCTCCTTTCTCCCTTCCTGGTCTGCTACCGCCGGCTCCTTGGTGGTTCCTGGTGTTGCCACCGCCACAGCCGCCCCGCCCCTTCCGCCCGCTGCCATTAAGGAGTCAAGCTCCGCCCTTATGCGGCGGAGCTCTTCCTCGTGGTTGCAGGCATGGGCCGAGACGGCCATGGCGGCGTCCAGCTCCTCTTCTGCCTTGTCCGTCCTCCATGTTGGAGGTGGTGGGTGCTCCGGGGGGTTATCGTCGTAGGACGGTATGTTTACGAGCACCCCCACCTCTACTTCCTTCCTTCTCGAAGGAGGAGGGGGCGAGGGAGGGTTGGTTACCATCCTCCTCTTCTGCTTCTTCCTCCTCCTGTCTTCCCTCTT